CATGCTAGCTGTCTGTCGCTCACTCTGAGTCTCTTGTTGATTTTTGAATTTATACCTCATTTGCCTACCTTTAAGAGTTGAGATCATAAGGCGGTTAAACTTTTCTTTTTGCTGGAAAATTAATATCCAGATGTAGTGTTAGATACCAAACAACGTTTAGTGGCAACTATATCTGTTCATATTCTTAGGTAACACATTAACAAGTCAGTTTAATGGTCAAATAATGACTGTTAAAAGCATCTCTGTAAACTCGTCCGCTGCACTGATTGAACCAATTCCCCCCTCTCTCCTCTACACCTCCTTCCAAACCACCACTGCGCCTTTGAATTCCTGATGATAACATAGGCCTATTATATAAGGTTTATGCTGACGTGTAGCAAACGTGGCTGTTTATTAACTTTGTTTTTTATTCATTCTGCAGGGACATATGCCTCATGCAAGGCTATCCTAAACGCGAACCCAAACTCTGCAGGTGGGGAATACACCATCAACACCAACACAGGCGACCAACGTGTTTACTGTGAGATGGGAATCAACGGGGGAGGGTATACTTTTCTTCCCCGACAGGCGATAGTGACGGGTACCAATCTTAACCTGGCCAGCATTTTCACTGATAAATCCCACGTGTTGCTACGTATTTTTTACGACAATGGTAGGCAGCCGTTCACCGTCCTGCGACAGCTGCATAGATACGCCTCCACCCCCCTTTCAGTTCAGGTAAACTCCCAATTCGGATATACAACTCCCGTGAATAAGGCCATGGGACCGCACTTATTTCTGGGATTCTTGCCAAGAAATATAGCTAGCAACCCCAGCTATAAATATCAGGGTACCCAAAGCAACGGTAAAGATATCGCTTTCAACAATTGCGACAGAAACCCAAACAGTTACTTTACATTCTTTCCAAATCATCGTGAAGTGCCACCAAGTTCCTATGGAGGCTCAGGCATTGGAGCCAATTTCTATGACGCATGGTTCAAGTCCGCCAAGCCAGTGCCATCTGGACGCACGATGCCTAACGAGTATTTCTTCTTCACCGAACTCCACTTTGGAGGGTGTGGTACCTATACCAGTAGCGATAAGTGGACGCGTGCAACGGGCGTGGCCATAGGGTTCCGCTAATTCTGTTGCAGGCACGTTGACAGAAACACAAAGGTATTCCGTTAGAAATGTGAGCAAAGACCCTGACATTAATGAATTTGATACACATGCTTTTGCGACGAAGAGATTGTTTGTAATACATGTAATATGTAGATGTGGTACATGTTTTTTAAATATGTATATGTAATATTGTAGATGTGGAATAAATGTGTTTTCATGTATTATTTTATAATTGTCGTTCAGCCGGACATTAAAAAAGCTGCTCGCTTCACTCGACATTTCCGGGTAGTGGCGCGATGCTTACGTCCAACTCCCCTGATATAAAGCTTTTCTAAATGGACTTGCTTCAGTTGTCAGCATATCATCACGAAAAAAAAAAAAAAAAAAAAAAAAAAAAAAAATATATATAT